CTTTTAGCTCTTGATAGAAGATTTCTGACTCCTGGCTTTGATTCTTTATTGCATGAAGGGGTATAGTGCCAAAAGTCCTCACATTACCCTCTACAATACAGAACTTTAATTTAAACCCTGGTAATCTGCCAAGATCATAAAACAGATACAAAGAAGTTTTAAAAATTGATTTAAAATATTGATTTCTCTGAGAGCTAAATATGTTATTTCCACAAATGTAAAGACAACACATGCTGCAAAATCCACACTGCAATATATATATACACACACATAACATTACCACCACTAGTGCTTACTGACTCGGGTTGAGGTTTATAGTGGAAAACTGTAGTCCAATGAGCACAGAAAGACCAAAATTGGACATAATTATGTCCACTGGAGGACACTTTTTCAATCCAAGGAGACTAGCTATAACTATAGTTCATCAACAGCAGTTCTATGTACTTCATGTTGTGTGTGTGTGTATATATATAAAATCATTTCCTTTAAATGGTTGAGCAGAACAAACACCACCTTTCACCCCTCCTTATGCCCTACCTCTCACAAAAAAAAACCTCTCCACACACAGCAATCCTTGCCACTCTGTTCCATTCTCCCTCCTTAGAGTTGTCTTCTTGCCTCATAGAATCTCAGGGTTGAAAGGGACCTCAGGAGGTCATCTAGTCCAACCCCCTGCTCAAAGCAGGACCAATCCCCAATTTTTGGCCCAGATCCCCAAATGGCCCCCTCAAGGACTGAACTCACAACCCTAGGTTCAGCAGGCCAACGCTCAAAGCACTGAGCTATCCCTCCTCCCCGCCTAGTTCAGTACCTCCCCAGATTGAACAAATATACAGCAATAATATAAGGGTGATCCAACTGCACTGGGATGTATCTCACAAATACAGCAAGTGACTTACTAACACAATTTCTAGGTTCACTGGCCCCTTCAGTCTCAGAAAACCCTGAAAATTATTTGCATAGGCTACAACAGCACCTCCTTTGAAGTAGCGTTGCAACTCGTGCAAAGGAATTTGGGATGTACCCGAAGATCCAGGCTACAAATTAACTCAGTCAATTAGGTGGAGAAGCTGAGTTCAGCACAGATGCGACAAGATAGCAGCTGAACTACAAGAACTGCCAAATGCAATTCGGTTGAGTGAGGCTCCGTCATGTCATCCTGATCAGATAGGTGCCAGCCATTCAATAATCTTTTGTTGTTTGCACTCTGCCCACTAATCCATCTCTGATGGGACTACTAAATTTTCCAAATCTCTGAGCACTTTCAAACAGCAACCATTTTTTTAAGAACTTGACAGAAAAAAGGTCTCATCCCCACAACAATGTGCAGGTAAAGGACGGGCAATAATTAGTCCTGTAATACTTACAGCTGATAAACCATGCGGCCTAAATATGTGATCTTTATACCATTAGAAATGAAAAGAGAGAGTCCAACTTCTAGAATTGTTTGGTTAACTGACAGAGGACCTTATATCTGTGATATTTTATCTATAGAAATTTTACCTCATAACAGTTACAATACTTTTTTGTGATTAGTTTTAGCTATAATTTTCTTCTCCCTCCTGACCTGGTACAGCTGGATTCATGCATTCATTATAAGCAAAGAGAGATGAAAACTGGACTAACTGAATTTAAATATTATGCACTGGGAGAATAAATGATAGTGTAGCACAAAGGGACTGGGAACTACCATTATCACTCATCTGTGGCTTCTCCATTTGTGAGTAATATGAACAGCCTAAATTCATGCTGATAAAATCTTAATGCCATAAGACACCTGTGTGTAAGTGTGTAAGACACAAGAGTGTAAGCGCATACATAAATTTATCACATAGAGAGATTAAATATACATACACATGGTAGTCACAAAAGTGCAGTCTGCATGAGTGCTGTGTATGATATTCTGGTCTCCTGCACAACCACTCCTGTGAGAATCTACTGCACCCACCAAAAGAGGGGTGGAGATTTTCTTCCCCCAAAAAGACTTCTCTCTCTATCATACATGAACCACACAATTCCCAGGCAGGCTTTAATACACTAGACAAAAAAAGGAGCCCCTATGGTCCTAAAAGCTATAGTATTATGTTTGGATTTCTATTAACCTGCCTTTGAATGATAGTAGCTCTGGCATCTTCCCTTAACCTTATCCAATGAAGTTCAAGAGATTTGAACAGTTCAACATCTGTGGCCAGGAAGCTTGCTATTAAGATTCACGCTAGATGCATGCTGATGCACGTATGCATAGCCATGTATTGTTCCCATTGTGCCTGCTAACAAGGTGGTATTCTTGCTTCAATAATGCCAATCAAAAATAGGGTTAGATGGTTAGCCTGCAGAACACTTGAGGTGCTATCTCCACTGCACGAAGTTCTCTTCTTTGTGACAGCTCTGCCATGTTGGCAGTCTGCTTACACTTACACCTGATCTTGTGTGTAGAATTATCTGAATAGCAGAGAAGACAACATAAGGTTTGCAGGGACTTGAAGCTCAATTATAGACAGAAATACTGCAGTGATTTCCTGGGAAACTTATTAAAAACCACATGGTGTGGCAACAGAAAAAGCATATGCACCGCAATAGGCCAACTGACAGTGTGCGAGAGTAAGCCCATGGCAGGCAATGAAATCAAGATCTACCAAAACCCAAAAATGAGTAGTGCGTTTGCCCAAAGTTTCATAATTCTCAGTTTATACTCTGTTTGGAGTTTGATACCCTTCCCAAGAAGTATATGCGAGGGGGGGGAAAGCACTGCACATGTTGATTTTGCACATTACATACAGCACAGGAAAGGATAACAAAAGACAGATCCCTTTCATTTTAGCCACAGACTTGTCAGGGTAAGGGTTTGCATGAGGTCTAGAATTTTTATTTGTGTTTCAAGTACACGTGTTTAATTGTACTTGTAGGGCTTCACGGCTAACATGTGTAATCCTCTTTACAAGCAAACAGCTGTTAATCAGCCTTTGAAAGTCTTCCCGGGGCCATATTCCCATTCTATCATGTTTTTACAGTACCATATTCATGCTCACATCAGACCCTGAACTGGTCAAAAAGAAGTCATGTCTCCTTCTCCTGGGGCTGGTGAGCGAACGCTATAATGCAACATCAAGAAGTGAAGAAGTGTCATTAATTTAGGAATCAGGATTAGACAAATGGTCAACATACTCTGCAAGCTCATACAGCAAAACTGTACTGAATAACTATGAAGTCCGGATTAACAGAACCCACAAGAAAGCACTAGACAGCAGTTTCCTTACACCTTCGCTGCACTGCTTCCTGTAACTATAAATATTCAAGGGTTAACAAAAGTGGGAAAGTAATGAAAACACTCAGAAAGAAAACCAGTTTTAAGACATGAGTCAACAATGCTGTACAGTCACATCCCAGCAATGCAGAGTTCCAGAAGTTTGGTCTCTGCATTTCAATCAGTTTGCAATCCGTGCAGGAGCTCCAGTGCTGGGTGCAACACATTGTTGGGGTCTTGCCTAGGCTTCCTGAGAGCATTCTGAGCTTTCCTGAAATGAAGGGCACACTTCTCTCTGGTTTGGTCTGGAGTTGCTTTTTTTTTTTTTTTTTGCTTTTTTTCATTTCATTTTTATGCTTTCATAAAATATAATTTAATTACAAAAAGAAGGACGGGCCAGTGGTTTTGGCACTAGTCGAAGACTCTGGAAACCTGCATTCCACCACACACCCTGTTCCACCAGAGATTTCCTGGGTGACTTTGAGCTTCTTTTAGCCTCTCTGTGCCTCAAATTCCTATCTGTAAAATGGGGATAATAGCACTGTCCTACCTCACCGAATCTAAATTCAAGTCTAAATGCATTGAAAGATTGTGAGGTGCTCAGACACTCCAATAATGCAGGCGATATGCACCCCTAAGATAGAAAGATTTTTTTCTAAAAAGAGCTCCCACTCCTGGAATATATGGTTTGTGTAATATCCACTATGGCACATGATAAACCAAAGATTAACTCTCTCCCCTTATTCAAATTCCTACTTCTGTGAGGCCTACTAACATTAGTCCACCACACATTGAAATATTCTCATGCTACAGCTCACTTCATCGTGAAAGCTTATGCTCAAATAAATTTGTTAGTCTCTAAGGTGCCACAAGTCCTCCTTTTTTTTTTGCGAATACAGGCTAACACGGCTGCTACTCTGAAACCTCTCACAATATTGTGTCATTTTCTTAGAGCCCGAGCTCCTGGAGTCAAATGATTATAGGAGAGTGACAACTTTCAATTAAAAAAAAAAAAAGTTTCTAGCCTTCAGTGTCGCACAGGAAAGCTTGAAAACAAACACTGAAGATTCACAACCCAGAGGGCAAATAAAGACAATTCCAAAAATTATTTTTTAAGTCTCATGATTATTAAGACAAATTTCATGATTTTTTGAGTGGGGCTGACTCTAATTTTTGAATGGTTGCAGTCAGTAACACAGTTATGCTATATATATCAACTCTTCTCACCACTAAAATGATCGTACATAGCATTTTATAGCACTAGGTGCACCCAAAGTGCTGTACAGGCATTAACTAATTAACCCTCACAACTCTCCTGAGAGGTAGGTGGGTAAGTGTTATTATCCCCATTTTACAGATGAAGAAACTGAGGCAGGAAGGTGAACTAATTTACCCAAGACTACCAGTCTAGGTGTAGAACAGCCCTGTGCTCCTAACTCCCCACCCCACTGCCATTCATAGACAAAACAAACAAACCCCACTGCTTTGTAATACTCAGCCAGTTTTTTTGTTGTCGAATTGTGCTGCCTGTCTGTTTCAACTGTAAGCTCTTGAGGGAAGAGGCCAAGTCTTCCTCTGTGTTTTGAAAAGCACTAATTATGTTTTGATGTCCAATAAATAATAACAGTGTTTTAGATAAACCATATTGGAAGCTTTGCCATCTATATTTTACATGCCTTCCCCACTACCACTCCCAAACAAAAACTTTCTCTTAATTTGACACAGCTACATTTGGGGCATCTAACAAAACGGATACATGAACCAGTTTGAGCAGAGTGGCACACTGCACAGAATTTCCGCAACAGTTCGAAACAGAACAAACACATACTTTCCTCCAGTGTGTACAACCGTGCCATTCTTTTATAGTAATACATACGCAAAATGTTTTTTCTTCAGCGTTAAGTGGCAATAATTTTTTCTATTTTTTTTCTGAGTTACTTTTTGCATCTCCGGTCAAGCAACTAGCCTCAAGAGACCAATCTTTCCACTACGGTGAAGGAAATATAATCACATATAATTTTTTTTTCATCTGTAACATTATAGGTATCACATTGAAAGCTTGTGTTAAGAACAAGATCCACAAATTTAGACTTGCCAGCTTTGCTCACTAGTGTGAGTAAGTTGCATCATCTGTGTATGTGTCTATGACACACTCAGCACAGCTCTTGCAAATCTCTATTTTTTATAAAGGCAAGTTAGTACGGGACTGCTAGTTCTTTACTCTTCTACTTATGCACAGAAGATATATAGCACACAGCACTGCAATCTTCCTCTCATTGCCCTGCCAATGCACCTCAACTAGAGCTAGTTCAACAATGGGAAAAATGTGAGGATTTTTTAAAACGGAAAATATTTGAATAAATTATTTAACTGACATTACCTGACCTCGGTCATGACTTGGACAGACCATGTCTAGAGACAGTAAGTTTAGTTTCCTATCCACTTCACACCGGCCACTAAACAGATACCAAGTGACTTCTGGTCACCAACAAACAAAGCTGATGTTCAGCCAGAGGCAAGGGCCTGATCCAAAGTCCAGTGAAGTCAATGAAAGCCTTTTTGTTGATTTCAATGGGCTCTGAATCAGGCCCTTGGAGATAAAAAAAACTGTGAAATCCCGGCCCCATTAAAGTCAATGGGAGTTTTGCCACTGATTTCAATGGAGCCAGGATCCTACCTGCCTCTCAATACCAAGGTTACGCTCTGCCCCACACCATCCTGTGTCCGGACTTAGCTGGCCGAGACCTGACAGACTACCTCATGAAGATTCTGACAGAAAGAGGCTACAGCCTCACCACAACAGCTGAAAGGGAAATTGTACGTGACATAAAGGAAAAGCTGTGCTACGTTGCACTGGATTTCGAACAGGAGATGGCCACTGCTGCTTCATCTTCCTCCCTGGAGAAAAGCTACAAACTGCCTGATGGTCAGGTGATCACCATTGGCAATGAGAGGTTCAGGTGTCCAGAGGCCTTCTTCCAGCCATCTTTCCTGGGTATGGAATCCTGTGGCATTCCTGAGACCACTTTCAACTCTATCATGAAGTGCGATGTAGATATTCAAAAGGACCTGTATTCCAACACAGTATTGTCTGGGGGTACCACAATGTACCCTGGAATTGCTGACAGAATGCAAAAGGACATCACAGCTCTGGCACCCAGTACAATGAAAATTAAGATTATTGCTCCACCTGAACGTAAATACTCTGTCTGGATTGGTGGTTCCATCCTGGCTTCCCTCTCTACCTTCCAGCAGATGTGGATCAGCAAGCAGGAATATGATGAGTCTGGCCCATCCATGGTCCACCGTAAATGCTTCTAAATGGACTACTAGCAGATGCACAGCATTTGCTGCATGAATTTTCACTAGTCTGTGTTTGCCTGGGCAAATTTATACACTTCATGCTAGCCTCACAAAACTGGAATTAAGGCTTCTTTTAAAAGAAACTTGCCCTTGGAAAGTCTGTGTCTGAGACAAACATCGGTGTTGGATTGAGCTGTCACTGATTTGACCCTGTATTCAAGTTAACTGGTCCCTTGGTGTACATTTTAGCATAATACCCTGTACATATCTTATCTAAAACTTGATACAGGTGCCATCACTCCTGTGACAAAATGCTAGGGTTAACTTGTATTTGTGGAAGAGAATCTGCCTGTGACACTGTAGTTCTGGTAGCTGGCTAGTATTGATTAATGGCATCTCACTTAAACTCTGCAGGGCTTGAGACTGATCTGTACAGGGTATTTGAGGTCAGACTTCCAATACACAAAGCGAGGCTGGTAGGAGGAGTTCATCAAAGAACTTAGTCCTGTTGCTGCCCTTCTAGCAAGTCTGGAAAACATTACATCCAAGCCTTATGAACCAGTTTTCATTTTCTTACCCCTCCTGTATCCCAGCAGAATATCCTTGCGGCAAAAGTTACTCAACTTGAGTTGCTGCAACTCTGCATTTACACATGTAAATTTTACACCAAGTTTAATTTATGTAAGATTTTTGTATGTTGCCTTAATATTCTCACATGACAGCAGAAAACCAAAATTTGTAAGTCATCCTGCAGTTGAGAAATTATAATGCCCAATAATCATTGTGTAAGGGAAAATAAAGCGATGCAGTTAAAAAAAAAATATCAAGGTCCTGAGCTATCCAGTTTCACTGGGCTTTTGCAATACATTGCTTGTTCAACAGAATTTAGTACGCTGACAGAGAAGAGGGACAGGGATGACAGCTGGTGGCTCAGCAGAGGAGTCTTGATGTATGTGGACTGATAAAATCTTGATGATTCTTTAAATGCTTATAGTACATTTCATTTTGAACTGGTCAACTTTCACACTGTTTCTTCAGGTTACAGTTTTGTAAACACTATGATGATTTGTTATGAGGTTCTTTCCTTCAAAAATGACAGAAATATATAGGTTTCAGAGTAGCAGCCGTGTTAGTCTGTATCCACAAAAAGAAAAAGAGGACTTGTGGCACCTTAGAGACTAACCAATTTATCTGAGCATAAGCTTTCGTGAGCTACAGCTCACTTCATCAGATATACAGCTATTGCTCTTTCTTTCTGCTGCACTGATATCAATTAAAAATATTCATTTGTGATATATTTTTCTTAATAACCAATGCTTTTAGCTTTGGTGGGATTTTTTTGGCATCTCATTTTGCTACATGGAGATATTTTTAATATGTGGGGTGACAGTCTGTTTTTTAGCACTTGTGAAAGATACTGACACTCAAGACCTCTGCATGCAGAATAGGTACAGCACAGGTCACAAGGTCTGAAGATTGAAAGACAGCTTATTGACAATTCTTGGCCTCTCTGCTGAGATGGCCAACCAAGTCGTCGCTGGGAGCCAGCTAGAGTGCGGTTATTGGACTGTGGGCACATCTGACAGCAATGGAATCAAGACTGTCCAACAGTCATCATGTGGCAATCACTTGTCATCAATAAGATATGAAAATGTTAGATTTGAACCTAGTGGTAGCAAAGCTCTGTACCCTACCATGAAGCATTGTTCAGCATGTATTCAGTCCAACTAGGGTCTCACTGTCTGTCTTCGTAAATTCTCAAGGACTCTCAGGCAGATCTGAAATTATATCAGGGCTCCCAGAATTTGATTAGTACTAGTTCTAAGCAGATCATGAAAGGATCCCACTGCCTTGAAAAAAATCTACTGCTGAGCCAAGCCTAATCATTATCTACTACTCACCCCATAAAACTGCTGTCCAGACCACCACACGGAAAGCATTCGGCTAGAAGCAGCACTTCTTTTCTGCAAGCATGACAGAACACGGCATTCAGTCCAAATGCTGCATTCCCTTCATTGCAGAAGGCTCTGCTCCCAGCCAACCCCTCACGTTCTTCATGTCCATGCATGGGTGGAATAGGCAGATGGAAGGAAAAGATCGGGGGAATGTGAAAGAAAACTGATAAACGGAGTGTAAGAAGATAAAGAGAAGTGAAGGGGGAATAAAAAGATATAGAATGGAGAAGGAAGAGGAGATCAGAGGACAGAAGAAGGTGAGGTCAACACGCAAGAAAAGAAAGGGGAATAAACGAGACAAAACAGATTTGACTATAAGCAGCATCTCTACCACTCACAAAGTGGAAGTACTACCTCGAAAAAAGATAAAATTCATTTACATTATTGTAAGAAAACTACAATAAATAAGACAAAAGGGAAGGATGGAAGGGGTGTCCCTTTCTTGAAATTAAAAGGCTGCTCGATTGAATCCATGTTTCTGTATGACATACTAGTAAACTCACCCATCTTCTGCATTAGGCTGCAAAAGTGAAATTCTGTGGCCTCTATTAGGCAGGAGGACAGTCTAGAAGAATAATGGTCCCTTCTGACCTGAAAATCTATGAAAAATGGAAACAAAACCAGTACAGAAGCCAAAGGTATGGGGTGCTAAACTGGTCCCATAGCTCCTGGGGACACCGTCCATTCCTGCTGCCCTCCCCCCCCCCCCCCCCACACACACAAACACAAACACACACACATACATCTAGCAACCTAATTCTGAGAGCATGCTATTTTGGGGTGGTTTTACTCCAAAATAAAGTCTCACTTGAGGGCACTGGGACTTACAAAAGTAATTATTTTCTGGTGACCTACAGTTGTTGCAAAGAACAACATTATTAACAATTACACACATCTCTAACAATCAGCTAATATCTACCACTTTACCAGGAAGTTCAATAAGTTATCTCTGAATAAAATTTAGTTCTGGCCCATTTTGATCCAATTTACATTAGTCCCTATTACGGATAGCAAGATCGAGGCACCGGAACCCACTGAAATTACCATGGTCAGATTCTCATCTGATTTATCAACTCCACCGTCACAGTAATAGTACATTTTTATATTTGTTCTCTGTGCAAGCTATCACACAGAAATGGAATACTATTTTTATTTGCTTATCTCTTTTGCCCTGGATAACGTCAGTAAGTCATCTCCTTCTGTCAACTTAAAAAGATTCTTTTTGGTCTTTACCTTAAAAGGATGCATCAGTGTCAACTTTTTTAAAAAAAGTAGTTTGCAGCTCGTTACTTATTATTCTCTCTCTGTGTGCCTAATTCTCCACTTGCCTACATCTCAGATAGACATTTAAGGCTATGCAAAAGTAGACATAAACCCCTACTATTCTAATATGGTCATGTTTTACAGCTCCTCTGCCACAGGCATTGGAGAAAATTATCCAAGGATTTAATCCTGAGGACTTTATTCAGGCAACGTTCTCACTAACTGCAATGGGACTTCTAGATTTGACCTGATTTTTGTAGCACCTTCTAAGCAGTTAAAAAAAAAACTGGTTCATTTTGTTATTACTTTTGATGACATTAAAAGTTGGAGCAAGATTATATGGAAAGGGAGACAGAAAATGTGACTGTGTAGAGTACTGATACAAACCCTGAAGAGTTTATCAGTCACAGAGCTACGTGAAGCATAACACACATGGTACTTGCCCTACCATCGGTGAGACTAGCAAGTACCACAAAAGCCTTACTTTCACCAACTCTGAAACAGTGTCCTAATACCTGTAAAGCTCAGAAAAGGAGGTTTTAAAGGGTAAACCAAAAACTGCTTAAATTTTGGTTTGATACATCCATGTCTCCTCTTGTCAATTATTTGTTTCATACTGTTATTATAGAGATATATATGACTGCTACTCACCCAAGATTGCACATGGGCCAGCTTGTTATTTTATATCACAAAGAGTTACACTTTATATCAGAATCTCATATTCAATCTATCTACAAACAATGGGCAGACTCCCACCACCATTAGACTACTGTACATACATACTAAATCAACTGAAATAAATAAAAGTTATTCCATATTTCCAGTGGTGTCTCAGGGTTTATAAAGTGGCCCATGATAAGAAAAACCCTGTTTGCATCAATGGGACTGTCCCTCTGAGTATAGACAGCAGAATTTTGCTCTATATGGTATCTTAAGGGGGGGAAAAATCTACTGTACAGCTTCAAAAGACAAAATCTAAGTTGTTTGGGTTTTTTAATTTAGGAGGGAAAAAATTGTGCTCAGCCTACAAATCAAGTGGCAATGATTGGTAGTTTCTTTTCAATCAGAGACCAATCTGAATGGTCGGCTCGAGGAGAGAAGAATCGTTAATCACCACATTCTGGGAACTGGGCAAAGAAAGAGAGAACTGTTTTCCGCAACACTTCCTGTGATAAGACCGACAGCTCTGTCGCAGTGCACACACCAGAGCTGCAGCAGGCTTCAAGGTTCATGTGAATGCAAACGTGACTCGTGACTCTCGTTTCTATACACATACACACACAGCATTCTTTTCAGCCCTGGGCCAAATGGGGAGGGGGGGGAAGGGAGAGAACTGACTTTCCTCAAACTTCTATTAAAGGCACAGTTCACTAGCTACTCATGAATTAGTTACAAGAGAAATGATTCATATTTCATTAATGGATTTGGGGGTGGGGGGAGGTATCAAAAAAGAAATTTACTTTTTGCTTTAGTTTATACTGACCCAACCCACTAAAACAAACTCAACCTCAGATTATCTTTTATGTTCATTCATGAAACAGATTCAGAACGTAAATGCTGAACAAAGGAAGCCTGATTGATATACAGCAAGTACATCTGTTTTTCTTAAATCCAATCCAAGCAAAGCTTTCTTTGCTCGATGACTTTAAAGTGTACATACCAAAATGGTATTTCTCTTCCCTCCCAAGACACCAGTTAGTTATAAAAGACTTTCAAAGCAGTGTAAATAAGATAGGAAAGAAAGAACTACAAGGATTAACTCCAACATGTCCCCATATCATTCAATAACTTCCCTTTACATGCACAGTCCAATATGAGTTTGCTGATCACAGCTTTTCCACTATAACAGAGCCAAGTGCAGGCAATTACTTACACTTATGTAGACTTTCATAAGAGATAACAGTTATCTCTATT